CTGAAAATCATTGCTAATCACTCAAGTGGCAAGGTGCCGATGTCTGAGCACTGCCTGTTACAGTTCAAAGCAGAGCTCTACCACTGAAATTACAAAATACTGCCATTTGTAACTAATAAAAGTAGTGGATTTCTTTATCAAACAGAATATGAGATAAAACAAGAATTTATACAAAATCACATTATTATAATGATTCATATGACTGCTTTATTTATTTCACCCCATGGTCCCAAGTTCTTGTTTTTTGTATTGTATCAGCAGAGTGAACTACTGGCTACTAGAAGTGTATCTTTTCATGACTCTTCATCTTTTTCGTACTTTGGATTTATTCAATTACCACTTCCTTGTGTACATATAAATATACGCAGGAAGTTAATATTACTTTTTGTTCAGTCCTTGTGTACCTTCTTTTCCTAGGAAACATGAAGCAGGAGTCTAGTTTTGTATACGAAAGACTCTCTCTGTCACTTGGGCATTAACTGCCTATCTCCCAGGCAAAAGCTGTCTACTCTCAAACTCTTTTCCTCTTTGAAAGGTGACAGAGTGAAAGCAGAAACTGACTTTTCCGGTTAGTTACACGAATTAATAAATGGAAACCCATTAGTTTGACATGGCGTATTTTTTGAAAATAAACATATGTTGTTGTGTAGTATAAAGAAAGATTATGTTTATGCATAACAAAAATCCACAGCAATCAAATGAAACTGGTCTTTAGGATAGTTCAGCAGTACATCTTTTTCATAATATTTCAAAATTTGCTCCTCGATAGTGGAAATATTGAAAAAATCCCTTACAAGAAACCATAATTGTCATAGAAGTAATTGGTGTTACTTTATACCTCATTCTGCTTTAACTGAGGTGGGATCAAACTCATTTGCAGAAGCGAATTTTAGCATTTTAATTTATATAAGTGTATTATTATCCTTTTTAAATTCACCATTGTCTCTTCAGTTAGAATCTCTCCCTCATCCCTAAGTCAATACATGGTTATGAATTTCTGGTATCCATAGGTCAGACCGCTGTACAGAGCACTTAAGAGGCAAGCCATGTAAACGATGTACACAGGTACCATATGCAAAAAAAGATCAGCATAGGGCTGTAACTTACTATTAACCATTCCTACAGTAAAACAAGCACCTATTAAAACTTGGCTTTTAATATGGCCATACTTATAAAACAACAATCACAATTATTTTAACTGTTTATTACTGCCAGCAACAGTTCACTTACCTCATCAGGGTTGGCATTAAAGGTGAGACTGCCCTCATCTAGCTGCATATACAATTTTCTAAAAGAAAATCCTAGAGGCGGATTCTTATTGTATATAGAACAGTGACCCCAAGTGGATTTGCACAACCTATGAAAATAGAATTAGTCTATTATCAAAATTCTTTTCTGTATTTCATGTATTTTACAGAAGCAAAATGTAATCAACACTGCAAAGGCAAATACTTAAACTATAGGAAAAATTAGAAATAGGTTGCTTGTAACACTTAGTTATGAAGCCTTTCCCTTGTGTGTTGCCAAAGTTTTCATTTATATTATTACTGTTTTCTTCTCACACGGGTTTTGGTGTATTTGAGTGCAATCTCAAAACATATCCCAGTAGGTGGCACCATAATGGCATCCACACAGCTGAGACCTCTGGCACTGCTGGTATCTGAACACTGGATAACTGTGACAAGTTGACCTTCTGCAGCAGTATGACGGTTTAAAAAATTGTTTCTTTTCTTGTGCCCTGGGTGTGCAGTGAGTGGGACACTACATCTGCACAAAATTATGCCATTAACTCACTGCTTTCCCAATCTGTCCTTTTCTACCTGACTGGCCTTTTTCCAGTCTTGAACACTCCTTATTATTTGATCCAAGCCCATCCCTCTCTCTCTTCCACCAGTTTCTTTCCCTTCTATCCCACTCTGACTCCATATCTCAGTTTCATCGGTTTCTGTCTCTCAATCTCGGTCTCCTCAATGACACCATCTGAAATTCCCTTGAACTTTCACTTTTTAGGCATTCCAATTGTTATTTAGATTCCTTATTGAACAGGTGGTTCTGCTTCAACGCATCTGTCTTGTAAATAATTAGGCACAATGCTTAGGACCCAGCAGATAGCCACTGAGGACACGGGAGAGACTTTGTTTGCAGTTCAGGAACCTGGGTCTTATTTGGACTGAGTTCAGAGCTGCAACCACAGGACTTGCCAAAGTCTAAACTCAAACACATCCAATACAGGCGGAATACTTAATTCTAAAATGTCTACAGAGATTACGCCATTTGAGATGGCGTAATTTGCTAAGTCAGGACACATTTTCTCTACCAAAGTATATACTTCAAACTGAGTAGTATTTGGGAAGATTTCACTAAAAATTATTGAGCTATTTCCCAGGATGAACTCTGAGGAAAATATGGGTTTCTCCCCATCCCCATATGTTAAGAATTTATACTGCATACAGTTAAGTAGCTCTAGTATCTTCAAGCTTTGGTCTAGGGAATTTATTTGTATTTAATGTGATTTTGATACCAAGAACCGAGTACAATGCAACGCATACTTACTCAGCTGCCAAGCTATTTGATATATATATAAGCTTAGAAGCTTAGCAGGATCTTCGCTAGAATCCTTGTTTCCTGCCAAGATAACAGTCCCCAACAGCAGAACAATTGTGACTAACACGCTATAACTGCATTATCCTATTGCTGAGTTCATAAAGCATGATAGGAAGGGAAGTTGATTAATTCAAAAGCAGAGGGGCAAAAAAAGAGATGAGGAAGAGAGAGATGAAGCGCACAATGAAAGGGAAAAAAACCAACCTGAACAACAACCCAACTGTTACAGTAATACTACTTACTGTCTGTTAAGGGATAAGAATATGTTGTGAAAGAAGATGCAAGTTCTGCTGACCATCTACTCTAAAGATAAGTATGATTTCATGACTCTTTCCTACTGTTGTAAAACACCAAATATCAAAGAAAATATTTTTAATTAAATTTTGATCTTATACTCTTTTATTTGATAGAATGTTCCTTTATTTATTTCCTGGACATACAAACTCTGCATATGTTATAAAATGTGTTTCAACTGTTAGACTGCAGAAATCCTACCTGACACATTTGCAGAACTGACCTTTTCTTTCCCGCTTCCATCACTTCCAAAAACCATACACTTACGTTGCTCTAAGACAGGTACAGTAGATGAGTTCTCATCCCTTTCTACCTGGAGCTTCAGCTGAATAGGTTTGTTTGCTCAAGCTAGATACTTGTTTGAAGTTCAGAGAAGTAATAATACAAACATTTGAGATGTCTTCACTTTTGCATTAGCTCAAGGCACAAGTCCTTGGTTTTTCCCCATGATATATCAAACAACACCTGTGTAGTAATACACACTTGTACCAAGCACACTTGTGTATGTAGTAATCTCCACTAACACCTGATAGTAATTAGAAATCCAGAATAACACATTTTTAAACTATATTCATGTTTTCCCTATGTCAAATCTCATTTAACTTAGGAAACCTTTGCTAAGGTTAGAATGACAAAAAGCACATGTTGAGACAAATTTAAAATCTAGTAATTATTTTTACTATGCCTGGGTGATGCCTTTTTTTTTTTTTTTTTTTTGCTTACCCTTGCCAGAGAAGCTCATCATTAGCAAGATCCTGCCAGACACATGAAGCTAGACAGAGATCAGTTGCATTCAGGTATGACAAAATGGTAAAACTAAGCTCTGGTGGCAGCATTTCCAGGTTAATGAATCCTTCTTGTTCTTTAGATTTTCTCGTCTTCAACAGGTGGTAGATGTCAATGCCTCCTTGGGCCTGTTTGCGATGGCTTGTATGGGAAACATTGTTAGTAGCTATCCTCCTACCATGTTCTCTGGTAAGATAGCCTTGTCCACTGTATCCTTGGTGTTGCAGTTGCTGGTTCCTAGCAACTCTCCAGAGTCCCTGACCCATCTGCGAGCCTGCTGGACATAAAATCCAAATTAAATGTTGACAGCTATTTATAAATATATGTAAGACAGAGTCAACACATTGGAAAAATAAAAATGTAGGACTGATCTGAATAGGAAAAAAAAAGTGAGATTTTGTCAAAGTTATGCTGACAGTATAACCTGTCTCCAATGGAGCAACTGAATAAATTTTGAAAACAAAACCCATAAAAAAACTAGCAGATTTTTTTCCAAAAATTTCTATGCTTGAAGAGTTACAAAATTTACAAGAAGCTTCTGCAAACAGTACCAAACATTATCTATGTCCTATGCAAATTAGAAGCCTCAACCATCAGAACATTTGTAATTACTGTCTTCAGACTTCCTTTAAAATTTAATAAAAATAGCTTATTTAGAGCCAACGAAGTGCTGTAAAATATAAGGAGAAACAAAAATGTCCTGAGTAGCAGGTAGCACACAAAATTAGGCTGTGACTAAGACAAAGCTTAACGACTTCCGTGATAATGCATTAAAGATTCAGTTCCTTGTTTCTGAGCATCCAGAATATCTTTTCAAGCTTTCTTAAACAGTAGGATAAAAACTTCATGATAAGGCTTCTATATCCCACTTATCACTGTGTTTGCTATTTTTTGTCAAACTTTGCTGCAGATGGTAATAAAAAGAACAAATACTGAATGTTAGTCAGTTATCAAGATTTCCGAATGCCACGACTCAAATTTCAGTAACCACCTGTATTTACCAAGAGGGGAAATTAAAGTCTGATAAATCATTCTAATTCAGTATGGAGTGTTGTCTTAATCCCATCACAAGTAGCATATATATGGTGATCAATCTTGTTTTTCAGCCTTTGCTACGATAACAGATCACTAAAGTGATCATACTAGGAACCTACAGGTTCCCGATGCTGACTTTCAAAAAAAGAAACACTGGTGGTCTGGTCTGGTAAGACCTCACATGTACTTGAAATTATTTATATTCTATTAGGACGGGGGATTAAAAATGTGGATTTGACACTGTTAAAGGTTGGACACGAATGGAAACTGTTCTACATAAGCAGAAAGAAACAAGCCATGGATGTGATGAGCGATTTTTACAGGAGAAGAAATGGAGAAAGTAGAGAAATTACAGAAAAAAAGCATAACCAAGATGGAAGTAGAAAAAAAGACAGGTTCAGCTGGCTGGTGAAGCAGTTACCTACATAAGTATCCATTCAGGGGAAGTTCAAGAATTCATTTCTAGATAAGGCCACAGTTGTGGAGAAACTGTAGTCACCTGTTTCAATTTAGTAATATGCAAGACTTTACATTAATTAATCATTCTTTTTATTCTCATTTCTTGTACAGTTATGTATTTGGCTTATTTTTTTATTATACAGAGGCAGTTTAAACCATGATCAACTGCTATAAATTATCAGGCAAGTTTGGGAAAAAAAAAAGCTTACTGAGTCAGACCATAAATAGGATATACAATTGGCAGCATGAATGTATGCACAAAGAAAATATTCTCATTTTCTTGAACCAGCATAATATTTTTAGAAGTCCTTAGGGCTACCGGTACAGTCGCTTTACAAGAGGAAGCTATACCACAATCTGCCATTTAAAAAGTGTCAACACAAAGATGACAGGTCTGATGGAAGTGGGCCTTGGTAATTCAGGCTGGTGTTTGCAATTACTTTATGAAACTTCTAGCTGTAAATAAAACATTTCTTCACATGATGAAGAACTCTGCATTTGTTTTTCATTGCCTAGCTATATTAAAATAGAGGTAGCAACTTCATTCCCAGAGCTGCAGTTGCTCAGTGACACCTTTTTCTGTTTTTGAACAACTAAATCTCTCCAACAAGAATGAATTTACTAACCTTTATCCCAAAGGAGGATCACCAAGCACTGTTACAATAAAATCAAGAGCTATTAACTGAATCAGTGGTAAGTGTGCCAGAACTGGTGTTTGGGACTACAAGCATAAACCCATCGAGTTGCCTGCCGCTCCAAAATCTTGCTGCTGTTGCTGCTATTGCCCCTGCTGAGCAGGCAGAGCAGAGAGTCATGTGCAGTGATGAATCAAGCTAAAAACCAGTTTTTGCAGGTAGGCAGTAACAGCCAAGGGCTGGAAGGACAAGGGGAGACTTTCCTAAGGAATGAAAAGAGCAGATAAGGAAGATTTTTGAGCAAATACAAGATTTCAAGAAGGGCTACTATCACCACGCTAGAGGATTCAATTAAGATAGTTCCCATTTTGCTAGGCATTGCGTATAAGCTTGTTAATTACTTAAGCAAAGTACTTAGTAAACAGGTATCTTTAAATATCTTGTGAGGCTTCAACCAATTCTTGACCTTAGCCTTGTGAGTATGAACTCATATGCCAAAAAGGCATTACACTTCAAATATGCAGATGCCAAAGTTAGAGGCTGTGTTCTCTCAGAAGATATCAGTTGATCTGAATGACTGAATAATAATGATCTTTCAATTATGTAAAAAATCTAGGGTTTTGAAAGAAGTAAATTTATACATACACATGTAGATGTAACTCAAATATAAACTGCACACTTTCTCAGTGTAAGTCTTCACGTAAAAACAAAAATGAAATCTGCCTGAAAATATAGCACTGACTCTCTAAAAAAAATTATAAAATAGCTGAACAGCAAAATGCTAGTTTAATGGACAGAGAAAACCAGGAGTCAGGGCTTCTAATTCCTCATCATTATTTCAACCACTAAAGCAACAGAAATCAGTGAGAAAAAATATTACAACATTGCAATATTAAACCTTTCATTTTACAAAAGATTGAAATGAGACAACCTATTCTATGTAAACTGTGTACATTAAGTAGAGAGAAAGGAAAGTTCTATTAAATGGAGAAATCTCTTTGTTGAGGTAACTTTTTGTAAGACAAATTAAGGAATTTATTTTGCTAGTATTTTTACAATCTTTTCGCACATTAGTTTATATCATTATAACAAAGCCACATTTCTATACACATTTGTTAACTCTCAACTGTTAAAAAACTTATGAAAATACTAATTATTTGGGTATAGTTTAAATAAAAAAAATAATAGGAGTAACAGGAAATTCAAGGCTCTGAAGATCATTAGGAATTGTACTGTGACAAGTTTCATAATCGTAATAAACCAGAAAGACAAGAGAGGAAGACCAGCAGCATTATCAGAAACAGTTCATAGAAAGGCTGTGCCCAGTCAATTATCAAGTGAATTTAATGCTATCAGGTAAGCATCTGGCAATTTTATAATAGCTTTCCAGCCTCCTCAGATTATCTTCCTGTTCTATATGCACTACCTGTAAAGAATTCTGTAGTGGTCACAGAGGACCAAGATCTACTAAGCACTAAATCAAACTTCCACATTTTAGTTGCTACTTTAAAATCTTTATTGCAATATTTACCTAGAAGTTCCTGCTCACAAAATATACTCTTTTGAGGAATACTGAGCTAAAAAGAACATCAGCAGTTCTTGTTGGTGCTCACAGGACTTTTCTCCCCACACAAAAGCTAATTGCTATATATCACCAACAACACAATAACTTCTAAATTATTTAACACTAGAAGTGGCTCCGAAACACAAAAAAGTATACTATGTCATTCAAGAAACTAGCCTGCTTATAATGAGCTCACATACTTACACAGAAAATATCACTGCAGAAATAATTTTAAAAGTCTTTTTTAATGTAAAAAATTATATTAAAAAAATTTGCTATTTTAACTACCAACTGAAGAAATTTCAGAGAAGAAACAGTAAAACATAATTTAAACCATTCTATGCTGCGGAAATCCACAAGCTTTAATATGCGTGTAGCTATTCAGCAGCTTATATGCCATTTGTTACATCACATCTTATTTTCCCCACCACGCAACTACTTTCAGCTTTGTAATAATCCAGGATGCACGCTTTGAGAACTCATTCATAGAACAAGATGAGTAAACGCATTGCTATTATAAAGACCTTGAAGTACTGGGGTCCCAAACTAGATTTTTAAATTCTTTTGAACATACATTTTCAATCTCCAGATTCAATAGGCCACTGAAATGTATGTTTCCAAGCTTCCAATTACATAACTTTATCTAATAACTAAAACCTCTTGATAGCGATCACAGTAAAAATAACATCAAGCTTGTTTATAAATTGCTGATCTTCTCTGGCTCTGCCTGCTACCTATCAGAGTCTGATTTCAATTTTAATCATGTCTTCTTCATGTTACTTTGTTACTGCACAACAAATTATTTTGCAGTGTTGAAGAGCATGACAGGAAACTAAAAGCTAAATGTAAGCTGGATTAACTCGGCATTGGCACTGGCCTCCGCTTTGTTAGACAAAACACAACATACATTCTCGCTATAAACGCCCAGCACTTTATGGTGACCGAGCCCGACAGCTGCTGCTTTGCGACCACAACTATCCCAACAGGAAAATGCTCCTTCCTTCAATGTCATCGAAGCTGAAGCTTCGATCACCGGAGCCGCACTGGTAACCGAGGCCTGCTGATCCACCTAACGTGAGGGCCTTTCAGACGGGACTCCAGGCAAGTACGCGGGCGGTTCCAGAGGCACAGCCAGCCCCTCACGCCCAAGGCC